CGTAAAAATGTCGATTCGCAAAAGTGACAATTCGTAAAAATGGCGATTCGTAAAAATGTCGATTCGCAAAAGTGACAATTCGTAAAAATGGCGATTCGCAAAAATGACAATTCGCAAAAATGAAAATTCGTAAAAATGACTTTTCGCAAAAATTACTTTTCGCAAAAATGACTATTCGTAAAAATGACATTTCGCAAAAATGGCTTTTCGCAAAAATGACTATTCGCAAAAGTGCAGTTTGGTAAAATGACATTTTGGAAAAATGATATTTGGGGAATAATCATGCGTCCCTTCGATATCAACAACCTCAAAAAAATTGAAATAGGTAGAAATTAAACATTTTTGCAAAAAAATTTTAAAAAGTAAGTTTTATTTCCCGTTTTTCGAATTCAGCGTTTGTTACAAGTGACATAGTAATTATACCATTTTCAATTTTATATTCCGCCACTTTTTAATAAAAAAGATAATTAGTTAACGTGTATTGTAATATACAGAACATCTATTTTTATTGCGTAGAATTTTGGTCAGAGTACTAGACAAATTGACGTGAAACGTCCCATATGTGTACGTATGAATATATATGTGCCTGAGGGCTACGCCCTCCTGCGCGCCAACCCCTTTGTTTAATTTAATAATTTTCTTTTCCTATTCATTACATCTAAACATAAATTTTAAGATTATGTTTGCTGCAAAACCTTACTCTTCTGATTAGGAACAACGACCTAAAATTTTAGAGAAGAACGGAGAAATTAAATGTTCTTTAAATGAGTCATTTTTAAAATTGGATTTTGTCCAATTTCATTGAAGAGGTTTTACATTAAAAAAAATTTTTGATTTTTTGTTTCGTATAAATTATCTTGCTTTCATGGTCGCCTAAAACTAACATATGATGAAACTATGTATAACTAATGATTCGCTGACATGATATCTCAAGTTCAGAGCATCTAAAAGATAAATAACTTTTAATATTTGGCATTGTTTTTCCAATGTATATTGCTTTAAAAATTATCATTTTGGTACAGACGATAGTGGAACATATGTATAGAATAAGCTATACAATTTTCAGCAACAGTTCAGATCGATGCAACAGTTTTTTATTTTAGAGCGATATTGTATCCCGTTTTTCTACATGTTAACGAAGTTTCCAACAAAACTAATAGTTTCCACAGCATTTCTGCATTGCCCTATACAAACGAAAAAAGACACTTGACGCGACATTTTTTGCCAGCCACAAAATTTTCTTAATTTTCTCTTGTTTTGAAAAGCGATCCATTAAAACGAGAATCATTTCTTTTTTTAAATAAATAAAAATTAACATTAGTATTTTGAATTCTTAATTTTATAAAAATAAATAGCTATACATTGTAAATTTAATTATAAAATTTATTGAAATTGAATTAAATAAAACCTGTCAGGTCAACAATTGTAATAAAACTAGAAACATATTCTGCCGCTCGTATTTTATTATTTTTCATAATATTCATCGAGAAATGTTCATTTGGAAATTTGCAAATCCACCATCACTTATCCAATTGGTCGAAGTCATCAGGGGAAGTGCTTACTGTTGCATATATTGGATGTGATTCCCGAATATTCAAAAGCACCAGGAAGACGAAAATTATTCGTTGTTTTGTTTATGTGAATTGCTGGTGACTATAGATAATAAGGCATTCTGTTTTATCGGCGAAAGATATTTATTTATCGCGGATAGGTGAAAACTGAAAAATTGTAAAAATAATAGTACGCCTGGGACTCACCTGAAGAAAACGAAGCGCGCATGTAGCGACGCGTTCGTGGTCGAGAATGATGCTTGTCATCGCATTTTCATGCGGTATTTAAATTTTACAATTTACATTCGGCCTTCTGTCGAATAAATAAATTGTTAAATTAATAGTGGAATTTAAAGTAAATTAAATTGAATCAAATTTTAATTGTAATAAATCTAAATTAATAAATATAATAAATGTGTAATAAATATAATTATTGTGTTAATCTCTTTACCCTAACCTCTCTCCGCGGTTTGTGAAGAATTTTTCCATTTTTTCTAACAATTTTTGAACTTGTCTGTCAAATGTTTTAAAAATTAAATAAATTAATCTTTTGGATATTTTCGAGTAAAATGTCCTGGCGCTAAAAATAAAATATTTTCTCTTAATTTAAAATGATTGAATTCAAAGTGTATATAACGTTCATTCCTAACCTATTGTCAAATAGTTATTGATTTTGGTTAAATAAAAATTAAAAATAGGATTAAAATCTCAAAATAAATATATTTAAATTGTTTAAAAGTCTTAAAATAATTATTTAAACATAAATAAAAGTAAAAACAACTTTATAACACATAAGTGATAAGTAGGTCGAACGGAGATATTTGAGAAAAAACATTTGCTTCAAAAACTTCATTTAGAGTCCATTTTTCATGAAGAAAAACATTCTTACTAGGGCAAATAACATGTTCTTTTTCTAATTTTGCAATAAAAAATCGATTATTTAACAATACACAGCTAGCCTAGCTTTTAATTTTTACCCTCACAGCATCGGGATATTCAGGATATTCCAGAGACGTCCTGGGGATATCGATTTGTTTTCGGAAGTTTGGATATCCCTGGAATATCCTCTGGATATCCATGGACGTCCCTAGGATATCCCAGAGATATCCAAACTTCCGAAAACAAATCGATATCCCCAGGACGTCTCTGGGATATCTTGAATATCCCGGTGCTGTGAGGGTAAATGATTTATTTATTTTTTACATAAATGTCGTTTTGGTGTCTTTTTCCGTTCTAGGGCAGTTATTTTGTTTATTATTATTTATTATTAATATTTTTAACGTTTTGAAAAATTTTAATGGAATCTTGGCTATTTTCAAAAAATCATTTTTCAAATTAATTTTCATATCCAATTAGCACAACATTTGAATAGAATATCGTGTCAGTATTACCTCAACATTGATTATATCCGCCCTGTAGTTATATTGAGCGCGAAATTGTCCCCACAATATTATTAAATATTATAATTATTGTAAAAGAGATACAATTCAATTTAAATACTAATAATTTTAGTTGTTCAGTGCTTTCAACTTGTGGAAAAATTTTATATACCTAAAGTTGATGTGAAACTGGCTGTCAATTAAAATAATACAATATTTATATAATAAATATTGATATTAATTTGTAATATTTATTGAGGTAATATTGTGGTCGAATTGTTTCAAGATGAATTGACTACATTAAAATAAATACTTTAATTTCTTTTAACCGTAATCAGTAAGTGTATACAATAAAACAACATTACATTCCCAATTATCTATATGTTGTATTAATTAAAGCTGTAGTCATTAATTTATTTTCACGTTTGTCAGTGTATTTGATTTCTCGCCGGATTCGCAATCTGATTTGCATAAAATTACCCAGGATGAAGCAATTATTGAATTACTAGCCAATTTGCACCTATCTCAATGCCAAGTCTGATTCATGATGATCCATGTCTGTTCTCCAGAATTTATTTATTACATCGATAATTTCCTGAAAGTTAAAGTTTTCTCGCGCCACGACTTTATGAATGATGTTTGTGAAATAAATATTCTATAATTATGATAACAATACAAAAATCGTGTACAAGATGGTTTAAGTTTTCTTGCATAGGATTCTATTGCATGCACATGAACATAATATTGTGCATAAGAAGCAAATGATAAATGCAAAGTGGGAGAAAACTGAAATTTAATGTTCGCCCTCATTTTTGAACCGTTATTACTAAATTTTTTTTTATTAAGAATATTTGTAGTTCTTTCCGGTTTAAAATTCGTATTTTATTTACGCTACAGTCACAGGATTTATCGCGTTTTATTATTATTACTATTATCATCACGTTTTTCCGCCTTCCGGTGACCGTAAACGTTTCCTGTCGTTTTATCATTTTGTTGCACTTAATATTTGATTATTGTAAATTTCGTCTTTATTTCGATGTATTGCATATTCCACACAAATCCTGCTCTGACGAGCCAATTCACTATTTTCATGGTCTCACATTTGTTACACAGTGAAAATGATTTTTTTCATTCTTCATTACCTAATAATTTATAAGCAATTGGAATTTGTAGATTTTTTAATCATTTACAAAAACTTTTATCCTCAAAGGGGTGAATTACTTGGATTAATTATTAGTTTCTTGGAACAATTATACAATACTTCGATAAATTTTCAAAGCTCTTTAATTTCAGATAATTTCCCGCTGAGATACTGTGAACACCGCAAATCGTCTTTTTCCGAAGACCTTATCAGAAGAGCTTTGTCACCTGCTTGTTTGTAGATATTTTCGGATAAAACCTCAAGAACCGGTTTTTTCAAAAACCAAAAACCGGTTATGGATTTTCAATACCGTAGAAACCTACAAATTATACCTTTTATTATAATTAGGTTTTAAAATGAAACATTGGAAATTAATGCAATGCAAACCATATGCCAAACGTACCATATGGTACGTTTTTTGCAAATAGTTTTTAATTTAATGTAAAATACTACAGCGTATAAACCTGGTTTTATAAAGATTGAAAGACCCTCTTCGACTTTAATTTTGTTTTAAATTTGAATAATGTATAAATTAACTTATATATGTAAACTTTAGACATTGAAATCGATTTACACGATTGCAATGAAATTGATTTTATGAAATTCTAAACCATTTTACATTTATATTTATTCTATTCATTTCTTTCTCATTTCTTCCATTTACAATTCTACGATTTTACGATTTAAGAATTCATTGTACATAGAGTTCTTTTTTGACGCGGATAGTGAAAAATTTTTTTCCATATAATAAATGAATGTGTATTTATTAAATTTTGTACATTCTATTCAAACTGTTATCAAGTGATGAATATTAAAACATTGTAAATAAATGTACAACTACTAGAATGTTTAAATGATTCATACGGAATTTTGAATTTATAAAATAAAATTCATTTAGAAATATTATTTATATGAACAAGTGTTACTCACCAAGACGTAAACAGCGAATGGCATGACGAGAACTGCTACAAGAAGATCAGCTAAAGCTAAACTGACGATGAAGTAATTGGTAACTGTCTGGAGAGCTTTCTCCCTCACAACAGCTAAAATAACGAGAACATTTCCAAAAAGTGTGAGACATGGTACCACCACTAATATCAAAGCCCACCAATTATTCACTTCCTCTTTATCCCAGTCACTTGACGTACTATTTATGCAGTTACTAAAATTATAGCTTGTACCTCCATAATACGACAAATTCCAGCTTAAATTAAACTTTCTGATGTACTCATTGATGTCATCAAACACAAATAAATCGGATACGATTGTCAAATTTTCAGCAGTTGTTGCCATTGTCGGTTTCTCTAAGGGTGGGATCTTCTTAAACATTGGTGTTACAGATTCTTCATCTGGTTCGTTTAACCATTTGATTTGAAAATTCAAGTCGATCGAGTCATTGCGAAAAAAATTAAAATTTATTTCGTCACTGACAATTCTATGTCGTCCACCACCCGCGAATCCCGGTGGATCATCCAGATACAAAAAGTCATTAGAGATGCTGATATTTTTCGCCAGAGACCGATGGAATACTTCCTTTAAAGCTTCCATTCTGTTTGCTGTCATCTTTATCTTTCTTAGCTTTTTACTTCGCTGTCACCAATCAAGAAATCTTAGCACCTTCCCACCGTGATGTTTTCATATATTTACCTATCATTTATATTCCTTCGATTCCTTATACTTTCTTTTGTGACTATATATTTAATCGTTTTCCTTCTCTTGACTTTCTCCATTCTTTTCGTTAATGCTCTGATCGTCTTTGGGGCGTCAATCTCAGCATTAAGAATTACGGCCATTAGAAATAGGAACAGTGCGTTTTATTCTCTTGCAGTCGCATTGATTCCTGAAACAAGAAATGTGATAAGAGCATTTTAATGGTTTTAATAATATAAAATAGGATTTACATTAGGTTGGTTTTAAAGTCTAATTCCAATAATTGTTAAATTACAAAACATTAAAAAGTACTTCTTGATAATGTACTATGTACTTCTTTAAATATATTACTTTCCTAACTACTCGTGGTTCATCATATGGAGAATTAGTTCAATAAATTAAATTTAGACCCTCAAACGGAATTGCAAATGCTCTCATGGGAGTAAAACGGAATTTCGTAAACTTAACAAAAAAGAGGCGAAGATCTACAAAACTCAAGATGATCTTAAAAATTATAACCGATTACAAAATCAAATATTTGCATACATATGCATTTACAATAATCCTTTGACTAGTCGTGAATTAGGGTAAGTGTTAGTTAGTTCAGTCGGAACCAGAAGTCGGGCAAACATGTACCTATTTTATTTTAGAAATAAAGTGATAAAATATTTCAAATAAAGTTAAAAATATGCTCTGTATTGTATTAATGATGATCTCAAAGTATATATCTAATCTTTAATAGAAAATAATGTAAAACTTTATAAAAATAAAAAAATAATAGAGACTCAAATAGTAACTAAGTTTTATTTTGAAATATTCATTTATTTTTTATAAACAATTTAATTTTAATTTAAAATTTTTTTAAACTTTTATTTCTCAGGAATGAATTGTCAGATTTTAATGAAAATTTTTTGCGCAATTATAATTGCGAACAATTATTTTATAGAACGGATATAAAAATTATTTCATTGTTGAAGAAAATATTTTATATTGTAAATTTGTAAAATATAATTGTTAATATTAAACAAATGAATAATTAATTGTGTTCTGAATGTCTGTCGTAAAATTTTTTACAACTTTAAACTGTATATATCAAGGGTTAAATATCTGAAATAAAAAGTTGGTAGATCGAAGTAATTTATTAACTATGAATTGTTTTGTGAGTGCAGTCGCGTTTATCCGTTCTATTTTAATCGTAAAAACATCAAAAATATTTATTATCTTTTTTCTGAATAAGTTTAATTCACCAACCGTTAATTAAAATAAACGTGCGGAATTATTAACACATTGATTATGTCCGCCCTGTGGGAATATAATATTGCGAGTCAATGTTGCCTTAATATTGCAAGTCAATAATAATTCAATATTGTCGGGTAATATTATCACGCAATATTGACACAATATTGAGATCAAATGTTGTGCTATTAGGGCATATAAAGAGATCACATTTAATTGAATGTTATTAGAAGTATATGTTTACCTATAACCTGCAGATGGTTTTAAATGAAATTGAAAATGTAATTATTCAAGACAATTATAATATTATTATACAATTTATATAAATTTAATATTTTTGAGCTAGAAACTTCTAAGCAGAGCATTTTCAATTGTTATACTTGTTTACAATAAATTTAATTAATTTTTCATCAATTAGTCTTTTTCAGTTGTGACGTCAGAGTCGATTTCAGGTGTGACGTCAGATTGCTGGAGGGAAAACAAACAGACGACGCAATGCAATTCTTATGGGAGAAACAAATTGGGCATTTTCTTTTCAATGTTTTGCAAATTTAATAGATTTTAAACACTTTCTATCTACATATATGTAATTGAAACGAATTCTGTAAAATAATTGTAGTGAAATTAACACTTCACACGAACTTAAAAAATATGCTAATATGTATGTTTTTGAGGTTAGGAACGATTGTTTACAACTATTTTATACATAGAGATAATAGTGGTAAACAGACGTTCCTAACCTTAAAAACATATATTTCAGCATATTTTCAAGTTCCTGTGAAGTGTAAAGTGTTAATTCCACTACAATTATTTTATAGAATTTATTTGAATTCCATATATGTAGATATAAAGTATTTAAAATTTATTAAATCTGCAAAACATTGAAAAGAAGTATCCAAATTTTTTCCTCCCATAAGAATTACATTGCGTCGTCTGTTTGTTTTCCCTCCAGCTATCTGACGTCATACTCGAACTCAAAATATCTCGGTGTAGTGAAACAGCCTAATAATTCTGCTAGGAAATCTTTGTATATATAAAAGCTTATTTTATTCCAACTTCACTGTAAAAACAGTGTCTCAATGTATGACGTTTCATCCCCACTTTTGAAACATTTGAGGTGTTTTACCTCAATAATTTTAAGGTACACAACACCTCAAATGTTTCAAAAGTGGGGATGAAACGTCTTACATTGAGATACTTGTTTTTACAGTGTTCATTCAAATTTTAACTATTAACAGTAAGTTATTAAAAAAGTTTTCGAGTTGTTTTGTGATATCATACAAATATACAATTTACAATACAAATACAAACATTTTTTAATTTTTAACCAGTTTCTTAAATCAAAATTATTTATCTAAAAAACATTTTGTTCCTTTCATAATAATATTATTTAAGTGTGACCTAGATGGAGCTTTCTAGTAGCAAATATCCTTAAAACATCCAAACCGCAAGAAACAAATGTATATTTCCACGACGTCCAGGGGATATTTGAATGAAATTATAGGTCAAATTCCCCACCTATAAGATTAAGTTACATTTATCTTTTACATTGCAAGCTAATAACTAATTTTTGAACGAAATGTTATGAAAGTAAGATTGCGATTTTAATTATTTACAAATTTAAGAAACAATTACAAACTTAAATTTGCTAAATAACAAAGATTACTATCTTAACAACTTTGCTATTAGAAATCATCCCCATCTTGGTTCCTTTATCTTAGTGCATAGATATATATACCTGTGAGAATTCTATCCTGTGAGCAGAGGAACAAGGGCACGGTGATGGATATTGAGACCATATATAGACCCACATCTGTTTGTCCACAGAGATGACGGGCCAAAGTTTGTTTATTGTTTCCTTGTGTTGCACAATTGTTCCCTTTTAAGTTTTGGTCTGAAATAAAAATTACACATTAGTTTTTAAATAGTGATTTAAATAATAGGGTAGATAATAATTTTTTAGTTATTTGACATATATTTCGGCAAAAGTTCCAAAAAATCGAATAAATTTCAAGATTTTATGAAGATTCTCTTTTATGAAGAATCTTCTTTTTTAGACCCTGATATTCATTAAACTCAACTCCACTTTTTCCTTAATAGAAAAACAGCTATTTTTTTGGCTGGAGTTTGAGAGTGACGGTCGTGATTGATTGTGAAAATGACATGATGTCGGTCGCTATTGGCTGAAATAATTTCAAATTTATGTGCGCGCGCAGTTTTGAGGTTCTTATTTATTCCACGTGGTCGAGTGCGAGTATTATACATGATCAATATTACAGAGTATTACAGAATATTACAGATTACAAAGTGACGAACACGTGTTTTTTTCTTAAATATTCTTCATCATTCTTAATATATGGGATGATAAAAAGTGAAAAGTGACAAAATAATAAAAAAATATAAATAAAATATCATAAATTGACCCTGACTAAATGTAAAGTGAATATATTGTTGGAAGGGTAAAAACATCAGCTTTTATCGCATGTAAATATCGAGTACGTAAAGTCAAAACCAAAGGCTGGGTAGCCTAAAGAAGTTGAACCTTTTCATGGGTTTTTTTTCATTATTTTAAAAAATATTAAAAATGAATCATTTTTTAATTAAACAATTAGGTTTCATTTTTCAAACCTTTCTAAAGAGAAAGAGTCCAGTCCAGCCAAAAATATTGATTTTTGTAGATTTTACATTAAATTTACGAAAGAATGTTTTTTGCTTTCTAGAAACTTAGGAAGTTTGAGGACTGTGAAAAATGGTTTAATATTATTATTTTAAAAAGTCAAATATATGGATTTCTTCGTTTTTTTTATCTACTTTAATCACAAGGAGTGCCAGAAAAGAAAAATTGAATTCCCGTTTTTTAAAAGCCTTGTCGAAAGGGCCTTTCGGAACGTGTTTCCGGCAGGACGCGCACTTGGACATTCTATCATTAACGATGAGATATGTTGCTTCTTACCTTGAATTTCAATCTCTTGTAAAAATATTAGAAAGAATCTATAAAAGTTTTCTCAAAAATCCATACAGTACTATTTTTCGGGTCTGAAGGTTTATGAAGCTCCCTGATTACGAATCCAAAGTCCTTTTTATATATCAGTATCATATAAGTTAAAGTTTACAATTTTTTGCAGGATTTCTCAAATTTTATTACTTAGTAGTTTCTTCGTAAAGCGGTTACTTTTTCTAATGTCGGATTCTCAATCTAAATATTTAAACTTTTCGAAGGTTATAAACTGTGTGTATATAAATGAAGAATCGTAATAAATAAAAAATTCTGATTTTGTAAAGCATAGAAAGAAATGTTTTACTAGACATTTTAGAGATTTTCTCAGTCTATTGGAAAATGCATTGAATACCTAAACGGTTTGAATATAACACATATCGCCTTCGAGTGAAAAAGTAAAAGACTCGCCTTTCATGCAAATTGAAAAAGTTGGCTTTTCACAGAATAGCTACCTAGGTGCGTTTATTTCATTATCTCCATTTTGCAAAATGCTATTATTGAAACAGCTTTCCCCATTGCTGATGATAGTTAAACTTTGTCTTAGCCTTTTCATTTTCTAGACAACTGTTTTAATCCAATAGAACATGTATTTTAACATGCTTGACAAATTTTTATTAATTCAATTGTCTGTCTTTTTGCTTCTTGGAAAATTCTATATATTTATTCAATTTCTCATGATTAACTAATAATTTGAATAACTTCGTGGTTGAAGTTCCAATACAGAAAATGAAATTAAATAGAAATAACTATGGAAATTCGCAAAAATTTCTATTTAGTTCGATTGTTGATTTAACTTTCGAGTAGTGGATTTTCATTCGATAAAAAAAAAATTAAGAGTCCTTTGCCTTTTCTTATTTCTAATCAGTAATAACGTCATGGAAAAATTAATCTCAAGTTTCACAATTATCGAAAATATTCTTTTTTTACGATGAATAACTTTTGAAATTTCCTTGCAATATCTTATAGACTCGCTACTGTTTAAGTTCTGGTAACAATCGACTGAAAATCACTTTTCTATGTGGCATAGAGATAAACTTTTTAAAACTTTGTGAGTAGTGAATTTACATTCTATTTGAAAGCAAATTTCAGTTTTGATGTTCTATTTTAGTTTTTTCCTTCTTGTTCAAGTTTAAAGTACAGAAGTAAATTATTCGCAAATTTAAAAAACTTTCATTAAAGAAAGGGATAGAATATTTTGGTATATATAATTAAAATTAAGTTTCATTAAGTTAATTTACTGATTTATAACATACTCTAGTTTTGAAAATCTTTCGTACCCATTAATTTAGAGACGGGAAGACACCCTTCAAATGTAGTAATCTCGTAATCCATTTGGTATCACTGATCAGTCTAAGATTTGATGTCTTGCTGATTAATTTTGCTTTAGCCTGAAAATCAATTGACATTGGGATTTGGCCAACGGTAAGATGCAACCTATCTAGGTTTGTTTGATTTACTGATGATTTGGACGGCCATTAGGAACGAGCAGTTACTCTAATCGATAGATTTTGTTTGTCGATAAGGAACAATCATCAATTTACATTTTTATGTTGGGTTAAAAATTTGTTAATATAAATTAATATTAGTTTTTAATATTAGTGCAAAAGTAGACGCTGATTGACAATAAGGAGTAGACAGTCATTTACTTTTATTTCGATTGTAATTTTTGTATGTTTCCCAACGATAGTTTAACTAGATTAAGTCTTTGAATCGAGATTTGCAGTAATCGTTTATTGGATCTATGTACTTGTAGTTCAGCAACCAGAACATGAGAAATCAAGGAAGCTGACATATCAAGTACGGAAAAATTCTATAGATAACGGCTATTGATGAGAATCTAGACAGCATAGCATAGCGTGTTCGAATCGAGTCAATTGAGAACATAAGAGAATCAAGAGACAGCTAAACCACGACGAAATATACGATATTTGGATGGTACTACGGTAAGAAGAGAGATAAAAAAAGATGGGCAACATTATCATCATTCCCAGACTTCGTAAATTGTACTCTTGCGTAAATTCTTTAATCGATTAGTCTTATATTATTTTTCTATTTTTCATGCTTATTTATTAATTATTAATTAACGTTCACCTCTTTATGACTTTGTTTAACTTTCCACTTGATGTTTCTACGATTTTTTTGTTAATTTAAATTTCCAATTACAGATGTTAATTATTTAGAAAATTATATTTAATAAGAATTCTTCCCTTACAGTGAATGAATATTCAGATATTGTTGCTTTTGTTTCGCTTTCAGAGCACTAGCAAAGTAAAGAAGTTGCACGTTTTGTCATTTAGTTTGCAACAGTTTTGATTAAATTTGTATTTTTTAGATTTGATTAAATGTTTTATTTTTGTCGTTGCGTCTCCATTTCAGACCAATGAGATGCAGTTAACAACCCCGATGATTCCAGTATGTATTGTGACGCGGAATTTTGCCACGCACTGAAAATAAATAAAAATCAACATTAGTATTTTGAATTCTCAGTTTTATAAAAATAATTTACACCTTGTAAATTGAATTAATTAATTCATTGAAATTGAATTGAATAAAACCTGTCAGCTCGTCAGATCAACAATTGTAACAAAACTTGAAACCTATTCTGCCGTTCGTATTTTATTGTTTTTAATATTCATCGAGAAACGTTCATTTGAAAATCTGCAAATCCATTAGCATTATTCTTGGTCGAGTTCATCACGGGAAGTGCTTCCTAGTGCATATATATTCGGATGTGATTCCCGAATAGTCAACAGTACCAGGAAATCGAAAATTAATTATTATTTTTGGTTAAAGACCCTAAGTGAATTGTTGGTGACTATAGATAATATGGCGTTCTGTTTTATCGGTCGAAGATAATTATCTAGCGTGGATAAGTGAAAACTGGAAAAATTGTAAAATATGTAGTACGCCGGGAACTCACCATAATGAAAACGAAGCGTTCGTGGCGCAGTATACACGGCCATTTAATTTAATTCTCGTTTTGGTGACAGTAGAAGACGCATCACGACATTAAAATTCGAAATATAAATTTTGTAAGGTCAATTAATTAAAATTAACTTGTATGAAAACTTGTTAACGACCTTCGAGTATAACCAATTCACTTTTACTAAAAAGTAATGACCGGAAATATTGCTTTAACATTGTCTGTCAAAGTTCCCACAGGGCGAACATAATCAAGCGACGAATCAAAAAGATAACAATATGGCAATTTTAATAAAATGTTATTTGTCGTGATTGTTTAACCCCTTTACGGTTTACTACCCATGGGTTGGTATTGCAAGAGATAGTGTGGCCCTAAACGGTTTACAACCCACCGGTGGGTCGTGAGCATAACTTTTTCTATTTTTGCCAATAGTAATAGTTCAGATATAGCTTATTATTTACACGTAATATAATATTTTAAAAACATGAAAAATTGATAAGAACATTTCTTTTATTTAGCCTACCATGAATATAATTACTATTATTATATTTATGATTAATTTAATAATAATAATGAATGAAAAATTAAATTTTTTAAACACAGCATTGTAAAAATAATTATGTATAAAATTGTAATAATTATTGTCATTAAAAATTATGCCTAATAATAATAACTATAATTATGTTGCCAGTCCTAAGTTTAGTTGTTACAAATAATTAAAATAACTATGTTTTCATCCAAAAAATTTGGTTATACATACGAGTAGTAGGTACTTTTTTAATTTTCAATTTTTTAATTACAAATATCTTACCAAGTAAAAATAATTTTTCAAAAATATTTTGCACAGTCATTTAGCACTCCAAGTATGTTTTCAATAATCATGCCTTTATAACAACATAACTTAACCTCAAAAAATGACATGTGCTCAAACAACATGTGATATTATCTAGTCAGCCAATTATTTTTATTACTT